CCTCACAGCCGACACCCCTTCACAGCCAGCGCCCCTCACAGCCAGGCCCACTGGGCAAACAGCAGTCAGAAGGTTTGTGGGGCACTTGTAGGCTCTCTGGCAAACAGGAGATGGGTGAGAAGTGAGGATGTGTTACTGTGGTTTCTGGAAACTTCCCCAAAATTAAGAACAGAGGGGCAGAAAAGAAGCAGGAGGATATGTCATGGCATTGCATTCTTCCACCTCTGTCTATCTGGAGCTAACTTGTGGCTTTAGGGGAAACTGGGACTCTGCTCTACTCATGACCAACAGCAAAGGAAAATGACATGCATCACTGTCTCTTATCAGGTTCCCCAGCTTTGCCAGGGAATTGGTGGACAGGCATCACTCTAAAATGGCCCAGCAAGTGYCCAGCTCTTTGTTCTCTACTTGGGTGTATAGTTCAAGCCAGAGCCCAGCTCTGAACATGATCATCTTTGGGTGGAGTACATGTTGTCCCCTCAAGTGTAATGGTGGAGTCAAAGCACAGCACCATCTGACAGACCCAGCCAGACAGTGAGTAATTGAGCAACATTGCCAGGCTGGAAAGCATTAATGGCATCAAAMGGATCTTCGTCCTATAGAGTCCCAGGCCAATGGCTCTATCAAGCAATCATTCTTCAGGCTCTGTGCCAATTATAAATGRGGCTGGAAAGCTGTATTTTCCCAGTTACTGCATGACAGGGCTCGGCTACATAAAAAGGCAAAGCATGAGGGCTGAGGCGTTGCTTGGTTGCAAATGCAGAAGATGGGTCTCTGTTTTACAGACTTTGCTATGAGAGAAGGCAAAGGAGGAGAATGAGCCAGGACAGAGGCTTTCTTAGGTCTGGCAGAAAACAGTGAACAGCGGAAAACATACTGCAGGTGAAGAATCAGCCTGCTGTTTGCTAATAATGTGTCTGGGAATTTTGGTGCAGCCTTATTTCAAATCAACAAGCAGTCAGAAATGAATGAAATATCAAAAGGGTACAAAAGGACTCAGCCTTTTCTTGTAGAATCTGATGTAGTTGGTTCTTAGCAAAGGAACAACAAAATTCAAAGTGACAAGTGGTGGCAAAGCAGAACATTTTATACTCTGGCCTCCAGCTAATAACACATAGCATTGTTGGACATTATGCAGTGCAGAGATAATAATTATATTGGCCAGATTCAGTGTTAACAGGAAAATTGCTATTTGAAAGAGGATAGCTTAGAATTATGAGATTGGAAGGACTGTGCACTTTCAGTGCCTGTAATTGCAAGATCTTAATACTAATTGGGTATGTGAGAAATATAACCTTCTTTCTTACTGTTTTATTCTTTTCTCTCTCTTAGTCCTAAAACTGATTTCCTATTCCTAAAAAGATTGGYTTTATAATAGTACCACTAAGGAGAAGACATATTTGTTGATTTAAAAATAAAACTCTCTATAAAAAACAGGAGGATAAAGAAGAAGGAAGAAGAATCYAAGCTAGTCTAAGCATTCAGATCTAGTATTACACAGATCCTGGTTTTCAGTAGAAGGAAATAAAAACCCCCTACTGTTAACATGTCTTGACTTGCAAACAGGACACAGCCCTGGCAGTCTTCAGAAACCACAGAGGAGTGGAAAGAGCAAAGGGATAGTCCAGATCAGTATGATCTGATTTAAAGGCTGGCTTGAGCTCTTTCAGGTGTACCGATGCATTCGGTGGGATAGTAGTCCTCACACCAAGGTCCAGAGAGCAGCAAAAATTGGCCCCTCAGCTCACCACTCATGCAAAGAATGAGAAATTTGGCTGAGCCACCCACTGGGAAAAATAAGGATGGTCCTGAAATAGGATCTCTCCCTACAGTAGTAGCATTGAGAGTGAGAATATCACAGAACCACTGTTCCACACCATTCCTCTAGGTATTTGTTATTCATCACTTTGAACTCTAGGTTTATTATGTGTCTGTAGAAAGGTAAAGGATAAGATAAAGAAAATGGCTTTTGTTGGTTTTTCGTTAAAGGAAAACTGTCTCAGCTTTCTCTTTTTCTAAAACAGCAATATAACTTTTTTCTGTACCAAATCTTACTTCAATCTTTGCTTGTGAAATGATAAGTTATTGTAGAGAGTTCATGATGATGCTTCAAAAAAAAACATAAAGAAACATGGAAAAAGATCTAACCTTTTGAAAAGCAGAAATTGCTTTGAAAATGAGGTTAAAGCTGTCCACTGCATTTTACTGCAGATAAATATAAAATGCTCTTTGGGAAATAGAAGAAATAAGCAGGACACAGAGGCAGATTAAGAAAACACTCTCTAGAAAACGTATAATACAGATATAAACAGGGAGTAACAGCAGCTAACGGAGAGAACAAAAAAGGGAAATATTCAGATATATGCTTATATTTGGGGCCTACAAGCCAAGAGAGACAGTAACACCTCAAATGTGGTATTCAAAGGCTGGTACGGCAGTGAAAATGCAGTATTTTTAAGAGATGTTTCTTTTATGGAAAGAAGACCATGGAAAGAAGATAACTGTAGTAATGAAAAGGTTGAAACCTGGGAACCACCACAGAATTATTCAGGATCAGACCCACATGATATTAARCTTCAATTTATAGCTGTTTCTATCAGGGGATGTATACACTGGAGGAGCAGGGTGCTGGATAAGAAACCTGAGATGAAGTGTTGGAGACAGTCAGAACTCAGTGTGGGGAGCTGAACTCAGTATGGGCAGCTGCTTCTCTGGATAACAACTCTGCATGCAGTTCCACATGAACCATCTCTGTTGAACAGTTTCTGCTAGCAAAGTTTGCTCATTTAAAGAGATCTTCACTTTCTCAGTGTTACATTTCTTTTTTCTTTTCCTATGGAAAATCAAAAGTCATGCAGAAACCTAAAGAATAGCACTCTCTCAAAAGAAAAAGAAAAAAAAATGAACAAAAGAAAAGAACCTCACAGCTCTTGACAGAGCTTCTAGGTAGTAATTTACAACCTGCAACCTCTTTTCTGCAAGGATTGGTCCATGGAAAGGAAAATGCACTCCACGTCTTTAAATTTGATGCTGTCAGACCTGTCACCTTCATCTCATGATTGAAAGACTTCAGTGTTGCAGCATCACTTCAGACAGCTGGTGTCTAATTGAGAAGGATTCTTCTATTAACTGTGACCCTCCCTGACTCCTCTCAGGCAGCAAGAAAAAGGGCTTTGACAAGCTGCCTGTAGCTCACAGGTTTCACAGTAGAAAGTTGAAGATCATTTAACATGTGTTGTTTGGGCAAAAAAGACAGTTGAGAGAGGGTATGCTAACAGTGTCYCCTATAAACAGAAGGAAGCTGCTCATTAAACAGGAAAGATGCTGAGATGGGAAGATCTCTCTAGGCAGCTTGTTCAGACCCAAATGAGAGCTAAAGGAACATCACTGGTGAAGGCTTTTTGAGTCCTAGGYAGCCGAAATCCTTGTGCATACAGGTGCTGCTTTAACTGGGGTAACTAAAGGCTTTAATACAGCATATCCCCTCTCCTCTCAGCAATACTATGTCACTAGCGATTTTTTCCTTCCCTGTTATAGGGATTGTGCCTTCATGGGGTGTATTCCACATGGCCACTGATGCACTTTAATTAAGGCATTTGGCATCACTGAATCGTACACGGGCCAGGCCTTGTTTAACCAGCATCTGGGGTGTGTGAAAAGGGAATCCTGCATTAAACTTTGTGTTTTAAACATTTTTCACTAATAATATATCATTGTATTGCCTGGTTGTTTTCATAGCTCTTCACCTTTGGCTGGAGAGAAGACATCCGCCCTGGGGAGCCACTTCACACTCGGAAGTTCTGCTTCGATGCCATCTCTCACAGTAGCCMTGTCACACTGTATGACTGTCACGGGATGAAGGGAAACCAGCACTGGAGCTATAGGAAGGTCAGAGTCACTGTGGGGCATCTCAGAGATTTAGATTGTCTTGAGCCTGTATTCAGTTTAACATAGGCTTGTTTTCCCATCAGAAAAGTCTTGTTTTAAAATCCACCACATCCTATTCCAATTTAATTTTGTRTTAATCTCTCTGGAACATGTTCCTTTTGAGCATTCAGATATTTAGGTCAAATTTAAATGAAAATGGATCTGATCCAGCTCAGAGGGTGTCTGTATTGGATCTGTTCCCTGAAAGGTGTTTTACCATTCTGGCGCTTCAAGATGATTGTGTCATTTAAACAGAGGCACTGTTGGAAATATTTTCATCCAGTGTGACAGCAGCAAGACACGCTGCTCATGAGTTAAATGTTATTTCTTTACTACATTTTAAAGATTACAAGTGGCAGAAAATCTCCCTAAAAAAAACAAACAAACAAACAAACAAACAAACAAAAACTCCTACCCAACCCAACATTAAAAGCACTGCTGTAAGCCCAAAGAAGGCAGGAGTTTATAAACTAAAGATAAGCACCTTAGGCACTACTTTGATCTGCTGAATTTCAGCCCATTTATATAAATCACTGGAAGCTGGAGGTCAAGCTAGAAACTCTCAGAGCTTCAGTTATGGTAAAAAGTCCTGGTCATACTGATTTGYTGTTGTTATTTGGGTTTTTTAATGGTTTATCAGCAAGTTGCTTTGATTACAGATTTCACTGAGAAACTCCATGTTGTATTCAAGATAAAGAKTTCTCTGAAGTGCTGAAGATTCCTCTCACACACGCTTCTGTTTTCTTTGACCATTGTGCCTTGCCCTTCACCTTGCTTAAGCTGAGGCCAAAGTACCAGGAATTGGTCTTTGCCAGATAAACGTCAATACTGTTTTCTGGTTTGAAAACACATATAGKAGAAAACCAATTCAGAACCATTAAAAATAGGTTTGTCCTGACCCATTTTCTGAGTGCCTACTTATAAGCTTGTGCCTTTTTACCTTATTTATGTTGCAAGATCCTTCATAAGATTTTCCAGAAATCTTTGAAATCCCTTTGAAACTGAGGTATTACCTGTAAGAAAGTTAGAATGTATGGGGCAGATATTTGGAATATATAAATTGTGGTGGTTGTATTGCCGCCTATCTGACTTTATAATGCCATAATAATACCTTCTTGCTTCAAAACCCTTCCTATTTATCTTTTTGCCTACCCAAGCTGCAAATCAAAAAGCTTTCATACCTTTAGCACTTCATTGTTGCTTGATATAACTGGTTCATAAGATAAAATGCGGGTCTGGAGCTACCCTCTGAAAGGCTCATCACCTTTGATGATGGCAGAATATAACAGGTAACTAAAAAAATACATTTAAAAAAATACACAGTGTAAGTTTTATTAAATTCTCTACACAGCTTCATTTTTATTTCCAGAAAGCTGACAGGGCTTGTATAAAAATTCTCAGTGCAAGACAGGCATTTCCATATCAGCAAGAAACACCACTAAGTTTTGTTATGATCGAAGTGCTGACACATTCTTAACTGTAATACCAACCTGACAGCAAGCTGGTCAATTTGCATAAGCCTTCAATTTAAGAAACTACATTGGAATAATAGAATTATGYATACATGTTTTTCTTTAGGCTTAGTTTTAGTTTGGCTAATAAAGTGAGTATTTTTAAATGTTTCCTCTAGAAAGGTAGATTTATATTAGAGATTTCTGGTAGTATAGCTATACCTCCTAAAATCTTATACATGATATAAACCTTTTCTAGCTTTGAAAGCATCTTGGCAATACAACTACTAGTGCTTTCCCTGCTGCAAAACAAAAACTGGTCTGTACTAGAGCCTTTACCTAGGGAATGGTATGCTACTGAATCTGCACCCTAAATAAATAAGAATAGTAATCTGGTTAAGAAAGAAATGTTACCTTTTAAAAAACAGAGAGCAGGTCAGCCACTCTTTTCTGTTCTCTGCACCACTTATAGACACTGTGGCTTCCYAATGGTCATGTATCCATCCTGCCAAAAATTCTTCTCATGCTTTAGGAGAAATGACCTTGCTTGTTAATGTCTTATAAGATGCTTAATATGAAGCATTTTTTACCATGATGTCACATTATTTCTATAAAACWAGAAGATAAGAGGTTTTTGTTCATTTAAAGATGCGTGTCTTCTCATAATCACTTGCATCCTTGAGCCACTGGTAAGAAATTATGGCTGTGAAGTGATTACAAAGTATTGCAAATGCTATTTGAAGCCAGACATTTTTCAGATTCCATATTCTTACAGTACAGAAATCCTAACAACCTGGTTTTGGATCSTGGCAAATAAAAACAGCTTAAATATTTTAGTAGGAAGTAGAATACATTAATATTTTACTTTGGATAAGGAGTGCTCTTCTGGAAAAAGTTTGCAGCCTATCCCCATAATGTGCACTTTGCTTCTCATTGCAGTGCAGCCTCAGAGCATGCAAGCCACATTCTTTTCAGACGACTGAAGCCAAAACTACCACTAATAAACATGTGTCAAAAACCTGTTCTTATTCCCATACTGCTTAAACTACATCTGGGCAGCTATTTGAAAGTCTAGTAAATCTGTAGTATTAAGTAATCAATTTTCTTAGAACAAATTCAAAATACTGGTCTACAGCCAAGTATACCTTTGAGAAAACCCTGTAAGAAGCAATGGAGCAGAATAAATCCAAGCCATACTGCAAACATTGCTGTGAGTTGTAAATAGTAGAATGTGAGTGTAATGCCAGGACAAAAAATATTGGCACCATATTGGAGCAATGTAAGATATKTGATAGATAAATGTAAATAACCAGTAATTCTTAGATATTTGGGAGAATGGCTTTAGCTTCCCAAGCATGCCAGAGCCAATGATAAGCAGTGCCTACAAATTTCTGTTCCTCATAGTGAAGGAACATGGCTCTAGTTTTCAATGTAGCATCATTCTTGGCTGACAGGTAGTACATTGGTTCTGATAAAGTATGATTCAATTTATGCACCATAGGCCCACTACTGCTATTTGCAGAGCAGAAGTATCCAAGAGAGGGCTGATTTAGTAGGTCTTTAAAAAGAAACAATTGTGCAGAAATATGGTATTGTGCAGAATTATATGGTAATTCTACCCTGAGCTTAGTGATTATGATAGAAACTAAACTGACAGCATCAAAAACTGTGCCCAGGAGCCAGGGGTTTGGTTGCAGCCTCCTGACAGCTTCAGGGACAAACTGTAAGAATCAGTTCACTTGTCACACAGGAGGTGCGTAGGTTATTCCCTCAGACAACCAAAGACATGTCATTGTGATAGTGGCTTTTATCATATGGACGTCAGTCCTGCTGAAATGACACTGGAGCTACCAACTAATTTCAGATAAACTACCACTGCCACCAGCTGATAATGACTGCCAGTTGCTCTTGGCCATAGTTATAGCAGTGACCTATAAGAAATGAAAGGCTCTGTGTCTCATTACCGACCCCCTGAACTTTCGAGACCAATTATCTTATGGAGGAGTTTCTCCTTCTGCAAATAATCTTCAGGCTTGCCTTTATGCAGAAGGAAAAAAAATTACTCTGCTGTTTTCAGATGTTAGAAATGTCTCCACAGGAGTGCCCATGTTTTCTCAATATTGGAGTAAAGAGGAATTTATGTATTTCTCTTGTAAAGTTCTTCTCTGGAATGCACACAACTGTTACCCCTTGAAGTCCTGAGCCTGTTTCTATTGAAATCCATAAGACTACCAGTCTTTGACCTTAAATCAGGATAAGCTTGAGACGATAAATTAATAGGCCTTTATATATAGCTAAGTCAGCCAGAAGTTTTTCCAGAGTGGTAACTCTGTCCCTATTCTTAGAAGACTCTTCTTTCCTAATAACCAGACTCTCTAAGTAAAAGCACCAATAATGCTTCATTCAAAAATTGCCTGCCTGCAATATTTCTGTAAGAAGGACCGCCAGCTTTCTGGAACGGCTAGAGTGTTTTTCATTGCAAGCTTTTTCTGCTGAAGCTGTTTCCTTTCTTCTTGACTGGCTACCTTATTAAAGCTTCTAGTATTCCAGCTTTTGCTTCCAATAGTTTGGTTGACCCTCATGCCCAGCTATACTACAAGGAAGACCAGATGCCCCCTTCAAGGCCCCACATCAGACAGGGTGGCCATGCCACAGTCACTGTGTCCTGATATCCCGCAATGCCACTCCATCAAGTGCTTATTGGGACAGGAGGAGCCAGCAAGGTGCAGACGGGTGCCTGCAACACCCCATAGGGTGCTCTACTTGTAGAACACAAGGGAAAGGCCTCTACTCATTTGGTACTCTGTCAGCTTTGATGGCATCCCTTAGAATTTTAGTGTGAATTTCAATTTCTGTGTTCACCTTCTGGTTATGGGGAAAGACAGATGCTGGAGGTAAAACACAGTGTGAAAGGCAGATGTAACACCATCACCCTCAGCCAGAGCACAGGCTACTTTGACTTTGTTCTCTCTTGTATATATTAATTTTAAAAAGAGGCTTTGTACTTTACCATTTTTTCACAAATCCCAAATAATGAATTTCATCTTTCCTAAATTAAAAAAAAAACCCAACATTATTTTTCAAAGTGGTTTTAAATACCTGCGGTTTCGGTTTGTTTTCATGTTTTGTTTTGTTTTGTTTTGTTTTTAATGTGGAGTATTTTTAGTTAAAAAGAAGTTTCTGTGATCATTGCTCAGCACCCAGAGCACTTAGGTGAGTTTTTAACAAATTGCAATTTGACAGGTAGATTTTTTTTTCCTCTCTCACAATCTCACAAACTGGGCAAGCAGGTACATCCTGGATAAGTATTAAAGTACTGTCAGGGAGTCAACGGCATGAAGGGGAAAAGCCTGAATGTGGTTTACCAGCAGTAATCTGAAATTTGTTTCAACAGATGCAGTATAGTTAAAGCCTTCTAATCAGTCCCACATCTGTCTTTGTGAAAACACTTGCTTATGTGAACTTAGTATATTGRAACTACCCTACTCACACAAACCAGGTGCCCAACTGAGTAGTTTCTGCTTTAACAAAGATTCASAGTCAGGATACTTAATATTCACTCCAGTTTTGTGAAGTAAAATTAATAAAACTGATCATCAAAAATATGCTTTTTAAAGCAACTTAATCCATGCTTACCCTCCCCAAATCTCCGTATGGAACTAAATCAGTGTTAGGATTTCCATTTTATTAGGAGAGCGTATTTCAGTGGCTSGTCTTACTGAGGCCACAGACAAAGTCCGCCTTGAATGGGATGAGAACATCAATCCTGTGTCCATCTGTCCACCACTTCAGTTAATAATTAATTTTAATGTCTTCACCAAGTTTAAGATTTTGCAGCTCTCCCTGTCAAGAAACACAACACTGTCAAGAACAAAACTTCTCTAAAAAAAACCTAAACAAATCCACTTTTCAGGTTCAGACATTTAAATAGGATCCAAGCAAATACATGATATGCAAAGATATTAAAAGACATTGTATTTTTTCATTATATTATGTGGTTGTTAGTCAAAGACCAGATGATATCTCCTTCTTTCTTGAATCCCCACTTTCATAAAGGATAATAGCCCAAGGGAAGAAAATACTTGATTCTATACAGCTTTCTTATAATAGCTGTAGTTATTACACAGGGTTAGTGCACAGAGACCACAAAATCATTTCAAACAGGACTGTGTTAATCCATGTTCTGTAAAGTGATAACACTTCCAGTGATTTGGCATTTGCTGCCTAATTCTATTTTTTTTCATTCCTGTAGGACAAAACTTTGTTCCATCCGGTAAGCAGCAGCTGCATAGATTGCAACCCAGCTGAGAAGAAGATTTTCATGAACAGATGTGATCCTTTATCTGAAACTCAACAATGGATTTTTGAACATATTAATATGACTGTTTTAGAAAAATTTAACAGCAAGGCCAGTTCCTAGAAGGAAAAAAAAATGAACACACCTATTTGCATACAGACTGCAGACTACAGTTTCGCCAGCATCTGGGTCAAAGGAGTCAGGAATTAAATTCCTAGATCCAGGAAATCTGTTCTGAGGATTAAGAAAATGCCACAGCAAGAGCCAGCAAGCTGTCCTTGTGGATCTGGAGAACTTGGCCAAGGGCCTCACCGGATGCTGCTGAGAACTTCAGGATGAAAACTCCCTTGCTGGTCAAGGGGAAAACTTTGTCTAAAAACTGTTTAAAAGTACTCCAAGTTAATAAAGTAAAACAAAACTCTAGAGTTTCTCAGGTCAAATCCTGCTGTAGTGAGTAGCTCAGAACAGACGCTATAATTTGAGATGGGTTTACGGTGTGCATGACACCAACAGGARCCTGAAGAAATCCCAGGTTTTAGAATTGAACATGCTGGTAGAAGAATAATGATGTCCCAGCACTCCCTAGACAAGATATATGCTCTGTTGACATTCTCTTAATAAAAGGTTGGGTTAAGCAGGTTTAACCCTCAGAACTGCTGCAATTAATTTAATTTTAAATACCTCCCTTTTACATTCCATTCATTACCAAAATAGGAATGGTAGAAATGTTAGGGTCTAGAATTACACTGTAGTTAAGCATGAAATAAGCTGTATGGTTTTGCCCTCACATTTTCCCCCTTCAGGAAAAAAAAAAAAAAAGTAATCAAATTATATATTTAGCAATTATGATTCAAATCCCATTGTCACAAAAGGTGAGTTTTTTTTTAGTGACAAATATAATGGTGGCAGCTGCAGGACAATGGAAGGCTTGTGGACTAGCTATCTTTTCTAAAGGTAGAATCCTTACCAACATATAAATTAAACTGAAAATAGGCTGGGGAAAAAAATCAGGAGAGTGGGAAATAATTGCATACTGCATGCTGAACTAGGTTAGTCAAATTAATATTGGTATGCTGACATCACCTAAAAGCACGTTGCTTTCCTGCTGTGCAGCTTAAAAGATCCTGCAGTGCTCTTGACACATAGGAGTGGAGAGAAAAATTGGCAGGAAATCAKTTGGGTGTTTTCAGGGTTTTTGAAATCTGTGATGGAAATCGTGAGCTTTCCAGAGTTAGCAAGTGAATGGTATTGTAGATGTTATGAGGGAGGAAACAGGAAGTGCAAGCAAGTCACACATTTTGTACTTTARGCAAAGGCACCATTCAGGGTAATGCAGACTTCCATCACACTGATGATCATGATGTGTCCCTCAGACTTATCAAGCTGCTGGACAGAGAGCCTCTACAGAGCATAACTATGGTTCTCCTCAGTTCATGCTGATGTGTGGAACTATATGTGACTGATAACTTTGAGATTGTTCAAGGTAAGAGTGAGTATGAATTTGTATCAAGTAAATACATGGCTTGCTTTTACTTGAAAGGTGAATTCACAGATGAAAGCACCACAAATGCAGATAGATCACATCCTTTGTGCTGTAACTCCTTTCAGGTTCCAAAAATAACATTTGTAATTAAGTTGCTTATTTTGATCGCTGGTGAGGTGGCTGACTAATGAAAACACTGATGTGCAACGTGCCCTGTTTTAAGGGAGTAGAGTGACTGTGTTTTGTTTATTTTTTCTTAAGCTYTGTTTATGCAAAACAGCACTGATTGCATCCAGAGGATGGTTCTAGTACCCTTGCATTATTTTATGGCAGCATCTTGTAGTTGCAGGTGATATGAAAGTTTTAGGAGGGGAATGAGGTCCTGTAGCATTGAGGATGCATGCACTTGGGAAATCTGAAATTTCCAAAATATTGAGCAATTGCTGCAAGTTATTGAAGAGATCTTTCAGATCATTTAAAGAATATGTCCATAGAGTTCTCATTTTATGATTTTAAAATGTGAGCTTGTTTAGGTATTGTTTAAATGTAATTAGAAGATATGGTGTGCTCAGGAACAGAAGCAGGAAGGCTACAGTATGAGGATACTTCGGGCTTGTTTAGCTATCAGTACACAGAACCAGACTAGCCACAGTAACTGTCAGCTTTCCCAGATGGGGTGCTCGCAGCCCATTTATTTGCTGCCTGAACATGAGGAAAGAAGGTTTGGGAAAAGAAGAAAATGGCTGCCTCAAATATAAATGCAGCCCTCGAGCTGCTGATTGCAACTGGCCCCAAACTGTCAGTCCTGGAAGCAGCACTGTATACCCAAAATAGAGAGGCAAAGAAGGATTGCTAAACCAGAACAGATTGGTAGGGTTATATCACTCAGTGTCTGACTGCATCTCAGTGGTCTGATTTTGAGATGTCTGATAGGAACTAGGCTGCTGTTAGGGCAAAGAAATTCTATGCCTTTTAGAGCCCTTGTTGAATCATATTGCACAGCACCTTCCACTCTCAAAGGAAACCTTGCACTTACTTCTAGCTGATCACAAATTGTAAACTCTAGCACTCCTTATCAGAAAACAATCCATATGRCTAACAGTCAGATGTTGTGGGGAAAGAGAACAGTCCTTTCACAGGACTCCTTCAACAAAATTTTTATTAATAATAAATGATCATCACTACCTTTCAGTTAAAGTCTGTCTTGGATGTTCTCCAAAGTTCCACTGATAAGAGTATTTCATTACTAATTTATGATTCAGAATTTCTTTAATTGTTCTTGTTTTTCCACCCAGTAAACTTCTGAACAATGTGATAGGTTGGAGACGTATATCCTCCTCTCATTATTTCTCCAGGAGCATTTAAYTCTGACACGTTTTTCTTCAAAAGGCTATGAAATTTCTTCACAAATTTTTTTTAAACAGCTCCTAGTCCTGAACACATTTTAAATGTAGTGCACAGGTGGCATTAACTGATGGGCTCATCATTTCAGTGGAGCTATACTGATTTCCCCAACTGAGGACTTGCTTTAGTTTTTTCAGTTAATTACTTTATGKCTTTAATCAAGATGCCTGAAAAGAAGATCTTTGTATCTTTAAGAGTTCATCAGCATCTACCCTATTTTTTTTGCATTTAAGGTTATCTGACTTTTTTTTTTCTGGGGCCAGCAAACTACTACAGCTGGAGAGAGCAACTGGACAAACTGAAATAAACTCCAGGTGCAATTAAAATTCTAAACTCACCTATCTTTCCCTGTGTATATTCCAGAATCTGAAATAAACAGAGGCCTTGGGGGATAGGGCTTGAAAGAGAGAGGAGGAGCTGGGAAACAAAGCCTTTCACGTGTGGGAGAGCAGCTTTGTCGCAGRGACATGGAAAGACTTCACTTTTCATTTGCCTTAGTCTTATTTCAGAAAAAAATGAGATTGCTTTAGAACAAAAAAAMCAGCATGGATATTTAAAATAKATAATGCATTATTCCCGAGTGTTAACTGTATATGAATAAATGGTCTCTAGCTGCTGAACTAAGTCTGCCTCATGATAAAGATAGATTAGGCTTGAAAGGAAACTGACAAGTACTTAACAACCTTTGATTATTGGCAATTGAACAGACATCAGTGTCTCCAGTGACCTTAGTGAAATCGGATGCCACAGAGGATCATAGACGAATTGTGTATAAACAGCTTGACCAAACTGATTAGATAGGTCCTCCTGCACTTCTGCAGGAGTGGATGGTACCTTTGTTTAAAAAAAAAAAAAATCATAATCTCAGTTCATTTGTATTTTCACTGGCAACTTCTGCAAGGGACTGAGTGAGTGGGATCATTTTAACCTACCTAGATGGATTGTGGAGCATTTTAGGAAGGCAGTACTAGGAAGATTTCAGTGTTGCTGATAATAGGGATGCATCCATTTGCTATTTAAAGAGCATCTGTAATGCTGTTAACCCAGTGCATTTCAAGACAATACAGCACATATATTTTTAAAAGGAATATGATAATGGTTTTATTTTTCTTTTTTTAGCTAAATATTTAGCTAACTAAAGTTGTTAGAGAAAAATTTCAAAGCCCTTGAAAACAAAACTGTCTGACCAGAAGTAATTTTTTTTTGAACTGGTATTATTATTACAATGTTCATTCATTCCTTTGTTTAACCCCTTTCCAAATCTTATCAAGAGCACAAGGGTTCAAGAGTGCTTTTACATAACATTTTCAGGATCTTGCCCTATCTGAAAGTTTTGAAAAGCCCTTTAAAAATTAGCAAATATAAACCAAAAGGTAACAAAAAAAACCCAAAGAAAAATACCTGACTATTATGTCTAGTGTACCAAGAGATTTTGCTAAACTTGTGCTAAAATAATATCTTTCAACTGGAAAAATTTAGATTAATAAGAGTTATTAAATCTTTATTGTTTAGTGCTTTCTATTTAAGATTTTCTATTTTTTAAAAAATGTCGTGAATTTKTATGGTAAGTTGCTGACAGGGTTTTTGTTTTAACCACATGTAATACATAAATCTGTTCTTAGGTCTCCTGAAATAGTTCTCTCCTCATATGTCCTTGCTATAATTCTGAATGCACTGGATTTAAGAAAATCTAAATGTTAAAAAAAAACCTCTAAAAAGTAAGAAACATGTAAAAACAAATAATGAGAAAGTTAAGCTAGAGATTTCAGATAAATGCATCACATTACCAAAACTTCAGCAGCATTCAGAAAATATATTTACTCTGTGTGATGGTTTTCTGTTCTTTCAGTGTATCATTAATATCAGTGGTACTACTCCTGGGGCAGCAAACTGGTGTTACTAGCATTTGGACAGCATGGTGCCAGAGGGAAGAAAATCTAGGAACAGCTTCTGAAAAGATTGCATTCACACACTGCAATCTGCTATGTCCTTGCTTATAAGGTTCCTTTATCTTAGTACTTTTTTCTTTTTTTACAGGACCTGGCAGTGCAGTAGGTGCTTCAGTGGGCCTTACAAAAACAATGCAGACAGCAGGGGAACAAAGAGGACATGGGTTAAAACAGTAATATTTGTGGTTACCCAAAGGCATATTTTCCACAGCACTGTTCAGCAGGTTAATTATACACAAAGAGAAGTTTGTATATTTTGTGCAGCCACTTTGGTAGGTGCCCAGCTTCACAGAATAGATGAATGAGAAAGAACCTTGCAAAGTGGGCCAACAGGAACGCTTTTACTCAGTAAAAGATGCAGAACAATGCATTTTAGAGGAGCATATGAAGAAGACCTCGAGATAGATATCATGGACAGTGTACAGGATGTGAGGGTTGCTGAAGTGAGGCAAGTCTGGTGAGTGGTACTATCTTAAAGATACTAAGATATAAGAAATGAAAACTTTCTCATTAACCTAAGTCCTCATTCATCTTATCAAGATCCCTAACACTGTCAAAGTATTAGTAGATTTAATTAAGTTAATCTCTCCCACTAAATGACTCAACCTGGAAGGAACCACAGTCCAAGCAAATTTCTGTTGATAACTCTGAAGCATCTGATTGGCAAAAGATACCACTTGGTACAGTTTAGTCAAAAACCCCAACTGGCACCAGAACTAAAACAATTTTATCAGCCCAAAAGATCTGGTGGCCTCTGCCATCCCTCTGTGAGAAAAGATTTCACTTGCCTGAAGGAGTGATTGATGGTAATGATCCTAGATTAAGAAGATCAAGAATTGTGAGCTTTCAAGGAGGTGAAAGGCCAAATGGTGAGATTAGGAAATGGCAGTTTAATTGAGAGAGGAAGGAGGAAATAGGTGGTAAAAAGGAAAATGTAGGAATCAGGTTTAATTCCGTATATGAAGGAAGTATGACCTACAGGGGTCAGCCTCTGATAATTTTGGATGCCTCTTCATAGCTTGCATGTTTATTTCTATCACAGATATTCAGGAATTGAGAGGCAATCAAGTTCTCTTGCAATACTTAAATTTAGAATAAAGAGAACTGCC